CTCTGCTCTCCTCCTGCTTACACATTCCCTCTCTCTGTACCCCCTCTCTCTCTACCCCCTCTCTCCCTCCTCTCTATGTTCCCCCTGTTTTCTATGTAATTCTTTTCTTCTCTCTTTCACCACCCCATCAGGACTATGTCTCCATGGCTACCCTGCCTCGTCTCTTTCCCTATCCTCCTCAATTCTCAGTCTTTCCAGCTCCATTTACTACTATAATGAGCCAAGCATGTCTGTGTTCCGCGCGTGACGTCACTCCACGTCGGCCAGCCTCCTTAATAATCATGAACAGGTGACGTCCTTCACATGTAGCACCCCCCCCCTCATTAATAAAGATGAGCAGGCGACGTCACTCCACATCGAACAGCCCCCCTCATTAATAATCATGAAGAGGTGACGTCTTCCAAATGCCCCACCCCCTCCATGAATAATAATTAGCGGGTGACGTCACTCCATATGGGGGGGGGGGGGGGGCGAGGCTCCTCCTCCTACCTCCTCAGCGTCAACTTACAACCCTCACTACAAAGGCAGAACCCTCACGTTATGTGATCTCCGTAACGTTGTTGAGACATAGAAGTAACAAGGTCGTCATGATGAACAAGGGATTATAATAACCTTTAAATGAAATAAGTCTGTGTCACCACGGCCTTACAAATTGCACACGAATTGATGCAATGAATATCACGTCGCGGTCTGCTTTTCGCTTGCAAGTTTCAAATTTCCTGAAACGGGCAAAGGGCTAGTTACATTTTGTTTGCACAAATTGCGATATAGATGCATTGAGAGATATTTGTCACCATCATCTCGCTGCGAGAGATACATTGAGAGATGCGTGAGGCTCCGTGCACTCTCAGGTACAGACAAGAGGCAGTACAGATGCGACTCCTTGCACACGCAGTACATAATAGATTGCACATATTATTTGCATTAACGATTGTTATTGAGTGTGTTATGAGCGTTACAATTAAAGTAACCCATGAATCAATGCATCGGCACATTCCTTGATTAATTTTAAATCCACAAATCTCCATCTTCTTTGTTGCGGGAGCTGGGAGTGTCCGGGATGCTGCTAACTAAATAAAGGACGATTTATTGAATTAGGAATTGCTTGATGTTACTGATAGCCTTGTGATAACATTTGTAAGTTAACTCAACTGATGTTTTATATAACCAGAGATGGTGTCTTTACAATTGATGATGAGGTAGGACTTGGTTAAATGTTGTCAATTCATATGAATGTTGAATTAATTAAATGACTAAATTCACGAAGCGATTAATCGATTAATTCGTTAACGATATACCGTGGGAAATTGTGCGTGTAACGAATATTGTATAGACGTGGTCGATAAAATGAGAATTAATTCACGGGGAAGTCAGCAGTGATTGTACTTTGGAAAGAATCGCCCCCGGTTTATGAATGTGAAATTTCCACCACTCATTCAGCGCTGTACGCAAGAGATTAGCACCAATGCCGCATTCCTCATTTGAGCAGATAATAACTTTGATTCGCAATACAAAACATTTCCCTTGAACAACAACAAATGGTGGTGGTGCCTACTCTCGGTACTGCCATATTTACGTCTCGTCTGTTCTGATATCCACACAACAAACTCCACTGCTGGACCATACTGCCATTGTCGTCGTCATTATCACCACCACATTATCATCATCATCATCACAGCCATGATTACCATCATGGTACCCGTAGCCACCATTCGACGCGGTGCAGTCTCTGTGGGGCATCTGATCGCGTGCAGCTGCTGGGTGGATTGTTGCATCTCAGGGTCGTGGAAGATGGCGACAGCTGCTGCCAGCACCACGACTGTAGCGAGAACAGGCGCTCCCCGTTCTTTGTCTTAACGCGTTAAAGGGACACGGATTGCGCGATGACAATAACAATGATGCACGAGTTGGTTTAATTTTGGAAATTAATATGAAGAGTAGCTGATAACTTGATATGATGACTTTATTTATCACTATAAACGTATTGAACGCCGCCAGGGCTGAGCACTTTTCCCGAGTTCGGCTCTCGCCACCGGCTGAAAAGCAAATGGCGTGGATGATCGCAGTTCGACAAGACAGTTCAACTAGTGGAATATGAGGTAGCTGTGTTGTATTCTTTTGCTGGACATAGATGAATAATGCATATTTACAGACATGGAAGACAAAAGCATGTTGAAAAGCGTAACAATCCACACGTATGTGCCGTTTTCACGAGCTTTTTTCTCTCTATCTTCACCGCGCCTCCCTTCACCAGGATGGCATCATGACGATTATCAAGGCGTGCTGCTTCATCCTAGTGGACGCTAACCCTGCGTACGGCTGCTCCAACTCCAAGACGTTGGTGGAGCAGAACTTGCTTAAAATTGCGATGCGAGTAGAGGCAGCTGTGTAAGTGGTACGCACCCTTGGGGATGCTCTTCAGTTGGTTGAGGTCCAGACCCAGATGAGTGACCTGGGTCACTTTGTCGAAAACCACAACGGATAGAGGCACCAGCTGGTTTGCCCACAGATACAGCTGCTGCAGATTCACCAGGCGATCAAACACCCCGGCGGGTAGAGCCTTTAGCTGGTTGGTACCAAGGTCCAGAACAGTCAGTTGCGTCAGTCTGTCAAACAACCCAGCGGGGAGGGCTGTGAGTTCATCATTGAGCACGAATCGCAGATCAGCACCCTCCCCCTCTTGCTGTAGAGCAGCCTCTACAAGAGAGCGTCGCTCTTCACACGGGAGTGGAGTTCAACACGGGTCCCTTCGTCGCGTTAGCGGCGCTGTGTTCACCTCACATCTCGGCACATCGCTCCATACCGTGCGCACTGTCTGCGTGGTGTGGTACAGCGAGCCGCAATATGTTTAGAGCTCGCAAAGAATTCCCTCTGGAACATTTCTATTCGATCAGTGTAATTAATTCCCGCATTTGCCTGCCCATGGGAGCCTCATTGAGTCTTGGAACACTGCTACAATCGGATGTGTGGCCAATTCCGATGTGAGGAAAGTGACGCGTTGTTGGTGCTCTTTGTTTAGTTGGTCTGTGTGAATTATCGTGTGCTGTGGTGTGGTTGTTATGTTGCTTTGTCAGCTGCCGCTATGTCGACTAAATGTAAGGACAACTTGATTTCCAAATTCAACCGCCTCTCAAACAAGAAACCGGACGCACACATTGAAAAGCTCGATATTAACAAAGTCGTAATTAATCGCAGTAACAGTTCTATTTCTGAAGGTCTGAAATCCGTTTTAGCTAAAGGACTAAACTTTGCAGTCACACCTAGACACATACCAGTTAATGATATTATTGCTCGAGTAGATGTAGCTCTCAAGGGCCTGAGTCACATCGCTGCAGGCGTAGCAAGATCTGAAATCTCTGCAACCCTCAAAAACGCTAAGATGCCAGCTAGCAACATCAGCAAAGATGAGCGTTTTGAATTAGCTCAATTAAAAAAGAGGGATGACATTGTCATCCTCTCAGCCGACAAAGGCAATGCCACTGTCATCATGGACAAAACAGAATACAACAACAAAAATCCAAGAACTACTCAACGATGGCAGCTATACAAAAATAAAAAGAGACCCCACCAACAGCCTCGTCTCAAAAACCAAGCAAATAATTTCTGATTCAACCGCATTAATTGATCAGACCAAACAGTTCTCGTTGAAACCTTCTGCAGCCCGGCCACCAAGATTATACGGTTTGCCAAAGATACATAAAGAAGATACACCTCTTCGTCCCATTGTCTCTACTATCAACTCCCCCACCTATAAATTGGCTCGTTTTTTGTCTGAAATCCTACGGCCTTTCACTGGAAAAACCACCTCTGCGGTACTAAACTCTACTGACCTGGTATCGATAATCAAGGGGATTGCCCTGTCCCCAGGTGACCTGCTTGTCAGTTTTGATGTGGTTTCCTTATTCAACAAGGTTCCTGTACCTGACACCATCGCAATCATTGAAGACTTGGTTCATCAAGGACTGAATGCTGGGGTACCCCCCCTGGTGAGACACTGCTTAACCAATACATACTTCACCTGGAATGGGACTTTCTACAAGCAAACTGAGGGCACCCCAATGGGCTCCTCCCTATCTCCGGTTGTAGCCAACATCTTCATGGAGAAATTTGAGACTGACGCCATCCAGACTGCCACTCTACGCCCGACCTTATGGAAGAGGTACGTAGACGACACTTTAGTCATCTGGCCACATGGCCGGCCTGCTCTAGACCAATTTCTCAACCACATCAATTCCATACACCCAGCCATCCGATTCACAATGGAAGTCGAAAAAGATGGCAAGCTACCCTTTTTGGATGTCCTAATTAAAAGGAGACATGATGGTTCAATGAGCCACTCTGTCTACAGGAAAGCCACCCATACGGATGCTTACCTAAAACCGGATTCCCACCACCATCCATCCCAGAAGAATTCCCTCATCAAGACTCTATACCATAGAGCCCAATGCATCTCCGACCAGGAACACATTGCCAGTGAACTCAAACACGTACGCCAAGCTCTTAAGGCTAATGGTTACTCCGACTACACAATCCGCAAAGCCATCACTCTAACCATCAAGAAGGATCCTGTTGAGGAGCCTTTCAAGACCATCACCTTACCCTACATTGCTGGGGTCACAAAAAAGATCTCCAAAATCCTGATTATACACAAGATCCAGGTCCGATTCAACACAAGACATAAAATCCGTGATCTGGTCCCGTCTGTAAAAGATGTGGTTCCAGACATACAGTACCCTGGCGTCTACAAACTAAGTTGCCTCTGTGGTAGCAGTTACATTGGGGAAACCAAACGACATGTCTCGGACCGCATCCGTGAACATAAAGCAGACCTGGCGTTAATATAACAAATTTAATAAATGGAGCAAAACACCCACATATAAACGTCGTAATATTACGCTGCTTCTTAATTTGGTATAATAATGCCTCGAAAATATAAATAAGAAAGCAAATACTTGTGGAATTTCAGATCGGCAATCTGGCTGCAGTGAACTTTAATCCAGGCACATTTTGGCGAATTTCCACATCTTGTATTTGTCTGGGCATCTGCTGATGGTCGTTCCTGAGGGGGTGTTTAACCGGCTGGTGAATCTGCAGAATCTGTTTTTGAATCAGAACCAACTGTCAGCTCTACCCACCGGGGTCTTTGACCATCTAGTGAATCTGAATGAGTTGTATCTGGACAATAACCAACTGCAGGCGATACCGCACGCTGTGTTTGACCAATTGACTGAACTGACGCGACTGGATATGGAAGCTAACCAACTGAAGTCCCTGCCACCAAAGCTCTTTGACAAACTGGGGAAGCTGATGCGTCTGCAGCTGCATGCCAACCAGCTGACGACCGTCCCCACTGCGGTGTTTGACCTGGTGAATTTAAAGAAGTTGTATTTGCATGGGAAGCAGTTGTCGACCATTCCTGTTAGGGCTGATAGTCAGGGAATAATTCTAGATTTTAAGCTTTCGTGACTGCAAGGATTCATATTCTTAGTTATTTCGGTAAAGTCACGTAGGTAAAAAATGAAATTAAAATTAATAAAAAATAAAAACAATAAAATCACGACGTGTCGGAGGCAACACAAGCTTCCGTCTTCAGGTGAAACTGTCACAGCAAAAAATCTGTATCAAGTGGAGAGAAGGCCCAGAGGTACGACCTTATATACTGGTTAAGGGGGGAGGAGCCAGGAAGGGCCGCGGGAGAGGATGAGTTGTGAGATGGTCAGTACTGCTGCTGGAACTGAGCCTTTGTAATGTAGATGGCATATGTAGATAAGCCAGCTAGGATTAAGCCGCCTTTTTTATGCTGCTGGGTGGGTAAATTAATTAAATATGATTAAGCCGCCTTTTGTTATGCTGGTGGGTGGGTAAATTAATTAAATACGAAAAAGGAGAGTACTGTTAAACGCTGGGGATGTTAACACTCGGTAGAGTAAAATAGTGCCTGTCAGATAAGAAGGTCCAAAAATGTGTAGTTAAATATTTTTGCATGGTTGATAACATCTTTCCAATGATTACTAAGTTTGTACCCATCATCACGGTTAAAATTATGTCTGTTTTTTGTATATCTGAATGGCTTCGAGTACAAACCTTTGATGGTAGCCAGAGGGTTTGCTCTGCATCCGAAACGTCGTGATTTTATTGTTTTTAATTAATTTTAATTTAATTTTTTTACCTACGTGACTTTACAGAAAAAAACTAAGAGTATTCAGTTAATAGACCAACGAAATTGATAAGTAGCAGGATACTTCAGAATAGCATAACCAACGTGAAGGTAAGTCATCCAGGAAAGTTTCACCGAGTCTCTGGACCATGCTAAGACGGTCCCCACATTGGGACGTTTGGCGTGTTATAAACGTTGGAGGACACCCTCCTTGCATGCCATGCAGGCAATTAGCTTAGTTCTGAATGTTCAACAGGTCAGAGAGAGTCATTTTATCGTGGCCTTTATGATCCATCTCCGAGAGATGCCGCTTAGACAAAATGCATGGTGCTGTTGTTGTTGTTTGCGAATGTTCCTTCATATCCGATTTATGGAGAAAACTCCGCCGACGTCTCCATCGCCAGCAGCAACAACAGAGCAAGGTGCACGGAACATTTGTCTTGGCCATTTGGTGCTCACGAGGGCAGCGGCGCTCACCTCCACTGGCGGCCCAAAGTCACTGCTGCCTCCACCTGCTGCTACTGACTCACAGCAACAGGTGCAGCCCAGCGATATCGAACTCACGTCACTGATGGCGAAGGGCCTCCACTCGAGGACGCTGTAGCGAGACCTTCTGGAGTGTATTCGGCATACTCGTCAACGCTGGTCATACGTCTTGGTAGAAGTGAGAGTACCCAAAATTCTCCCCATCGCACGTGTTCAACCGATTGAATAGTGGACTTTTATTCATTCATACTGCTGGGTGGATACGGGGGGTTGGGGAGGCTGGGGGGAGGGTGCAGGGAGGATTTAAGAAACGTGCACCATGGTTTTGATTTCCGCACCGAGAGACTGCACCGGCGACTTTGGGATTGCAAGTCCAGTGTGTGGACCACTACCTTACAGCAACACCACAGTTACTAAAGTAGTAATTGTGTAATGGGTTCCGAAAACACTTTCCGTAGGTAACTTCCTTATTAAAACACACCACTGCAACAGTACTTACACTGTCTAGGAACACAGCCTACTTCTAGCGTGCCTGACACTGCCTACGCTCTTGGGTCCTCCGGTTATGATTATCCTAGGGGAGGCTACCTGACCCGACCCAGCCAAGGTGCGGGTCTCGACTCTGGATTCATCGGACCTCGCCCTTACAAGGGCGAAGGGCCGGGAGTCCCAGAGTCCCACCACTGGCCCACACAGCGCACAAGGACAACGGGGTGAGGGGGTCCAGGGTCCTATTAACGATTGTTTAGAAATGTTCGTGGAAGTGAAGTCCAGTTTGAGCTGTGTGTACTTAATTTCGTCATTCCCTTCGTCTATTTGACTTAAGTTAGACAAGTTTAGTTGTTCAATAGTGTCGTGAAATATGGATAGACAAGGGGCTAATTAATTTTATATATTGTTTAACAATGCCAATCCACTGACAAGCTGGATCGGTGAATAAAATGTAACCAGTGCTCTTTGTGGTCGTATTTACATTGACTTTGCTAGAGTCTTCGTGGACCAGCAGGTAGCGGGTGTCTGCGGTTCATGTGCAGTAAGGAACTCGTCTCTCCCTTCACTGGGGTGATTGGCCGCCTGGTGAATCTGCAGCATCTGTATTTGTATAACAACCTGGGGCGCGTTTGACAAACGGAGTTAACACTGCCAGAAACGGGCTCTGCTTTGTCGCTGGGCAATATCAGCTCTCATAATTCACATGATTCTCCATTTAAAATTCACTAATGCTCAGTGACACTGCAGATTACACCATGACGATGGTGATGATGACTGTGGATGTCAATAACGCGGTAACTTTATAAGCTGAACCCTACTCGTGCCGAGTGTCATCTCTACCTAAGTGCCTAGCGACAAAGCAGAGACCGCTGCTGGTAGTGCTGGTTCCGTTTGTCAAACGTGTCCCTGGGAACACTTTTCAGCTTGTTGCTGTTTAAATGCAACAGCTGCAGATTCACCAGGCGGTCAAACACCCGAGCGGGGAGAGCTGTGAACTGGTTGTGGCTTAAATCCAGTTGTGTCAGTTGAGCCAGACGGTCAAACACCCCGACAGGGAGATACGCGAGTTCCTCAATGCTTAGACACTCGCGCTCCTCTGTTATATGAAGACTCTGGCACAGTGAATGCAAACACGACTATTAAGAGCATTGGTTATATTTTATTGACCCATCAGGATTGGGAGCGGATTGGTATTGTTAAAAAAGATATACAAAATTAATAATGCAAATTCCTTTGTCTATTCGCTGCTGGATGAAGTGACCTTATTTCAAAACGCTGGCTGGTGGAGGGGGAGGAATAATTATTTAAATTTGGATGAAAAGACGAAGGGAATGACGAAATTAAATAGAGATGGAACTGGACTAAAATTCCACGAATAATTATATTAAGGAAACATATAATAGGCGACGTTGCGGGGACGTGCATTTACGTGCTATGAAGAAGGGCCATCGCCTGAAACGTCACCCAATATATTTTTACCCGCTAGGACAGTGTGTTGTGTTAAGTTTTGATTAAGCGCCTGGTTGAAATATAAGATCTCTGAACAGGCGCAGTCCCAGGGGTTACTGTACATATGGATGTACAGTACGGGATTGCGTCTCGCGATTCACAGTTTACGACAGGGATTTCGGACAAATCAGTGATTTAGTATCAATTATATGCGCTTCAAAAACATACAGTTTTAATTTGTATGATAAACACTCACCATCCAAGTGTGTCTACGATGCTTCAAGTTTTCCATTGATGTTTTACTATCATAACTACTGCTACAGCGATTTGGATTCAGTAACTAAACTGTTACTCTTGCTTCAACTCTGCCTATCACTTAAATGTATACCCAACGGTCTATTAACTCCACGCCTTATTCGAGAAAATTTATATTAGAAACAAGCCAAAGTTTTGCGCAATTACCCTTATTCAATGCAGAAAGAGCGGCTAAACAGTTCAACTGATTTGTAGTTGTAGACTGCAGTTCACTCTCAGTTGATGAGACAGCCGTGGCCGGGAATAGAACCCACGTCACAACCTCGACATCATGCTCATTCTATATATACTAGCTTTTTGCCCGTCCTAGGACGGAAGCTGTAATATTAAAGATGTAAATTTACGTGTTCTTGTATATTGTCAACTTTTTTTAGGAATTGTTGCGCATAAATACATTTTTCTTAACTAAAAAAGTAAAATTAAGGACTTTGGAAGATTTCTCGGTATGCAATATTTTGTGTGAATCTCTTTTCAGAAGGTTTCCCTGCAGTTGATTATCCTTGATGAACAATTTGATCCGCTGAGGATTTTTTAGATCTAGACAGAGCACGTACAACTGTCCATGGGGAAATATGGGTTCATTGAGTTAAATTCCCACGTTTTCAAAAGTCTGACCCTGGCACTTGTTGATCGTCATCGCATACGCAGAAATGATCGGAATTTGTCGCCGATTCAATGTGAATGGAAGAGTGACATCACTTGGAACTAGGTAGATTTTTGGGATGAAGACGATTTCGCCTCGGTTGCATTCCGATACAATCTCTGCGGTGATGAAGTTATTTTGTAATGATTTGACCATCAAGCGCGTTCCATTGCAAAGACCGTTCCTCGGGTTCAGATTTCGCAGCAGCATGATGATAACGCCTGTCTTCAGTGCCAATGTGTGTGGCGGCATTCCTGAAGGCGTTTGATCGTGAAGAAATTCTGGAGGGTAATTCAATGCGTCCGCAGGATCTTCCGACACAATCGTGTCAGAGCTGTAATTATTTGAGCACTGACTTGTGTGTATCTTGTGCAATTTTAAAAGGCAAATAATATCTGTCTCAAAATAAATTGAATAAACACTTCACGTAACTTTACATTTGCTTTGAACTCACCTGAAGCTTTGAACTGACACATTTTTCTTCCCCGATGGACGATTGATAGCGCAGAGTGAAGTAACTGCTGATACTGTCAGGAGTAAGTTTTTAATAAAAAAACAAACATAACCACAAAAGTACCTACATTTTTTTTACCAGAGTATTATTGTATCTTGTGTCAATTTAATGGCAGTGAATCTTGCACAACACGATGTAATCAAACACTGCACTGAATTTCACTGTATTAATGGCAGTGATTCTTGCACAAAACTACGTCATAAAACCACGTAACTTCATGTCACTGTAGCACTGTATTTAACTCACCTTCAATTAGTTCAAAATCACTGCTCTGATACTTTTTCTTCTGCTTTCACTCGCTGGGGTTGAAA